TCCAATTTTCGCTGCTTGCCCTCTCGCATAAACATTTATCGCAACTTAGCGGTTCCTTATCTGGCTCGTATTCTGACTGACACGGGTAGATCCGCAACTAACTAATTTTACACTTACAAAGAGGAACACCTGTTTAAGTTTGATCACTGCCGTATACTAATTTTCATTTCATTTGTGTGTTATCCCATTTTAACAGTGAACCTTTTTTTTGACTGAAATTAGGCACAGTTACCTGCACAAGTCATTTAAACTACCATACAATACAATTAACAGAGCGATTTGAACCGACTTTGACTTCAACATTCAAAATATTAGATCATTTCCCCCCGAGAGAATAATGCATCAGAACCTTGATGAAATAGCGTGGTACAATTTGGAGGTAGGGAACTCGGACATACCTATTCGTGAATCACCAATTTCGCGAAATAATCATCTTTCAAATGTGACTGCCGATATTCAAATAAGAAGAGAATTATGGAAATTGTTTGGCCTTCGGACTAATGTGATGGTTTTGCTACCGAACCGGTTATTTGCAGTCTGTTGTGTGTTCGAGCATTTTGTCACGCCATTGGCTACTTTTTATTTGATTATCAACAGATTGACCAGCCACCTGACCTATCTTTGTTGTTTTAGCAATTTTATTGCGCTATTTTATCAAATAGAAGAGCAATTTTGCACGACTATTTCTCACGGTCCACGCTTTTCACTAGGGTATGAGAAAAATTTGATCAATTGATGATGGGTGTGTCCTTTCATCTTGATACAAACCTTGCTGTCGTTTCCGAAACTGTTCAAGAGTAGTAGATGGTGTGATAAGGACGAACAAAGAGATACTTTCCCATTGTGCTTGAAAGTTCGTTTCTGTTCGAATCCCACTGAAACCAGAATAGTGAAATTTGTGCGAGAATTCAAGGTTATTGGAAGAGATCATTCGTTTTTAAATTGTCACTTTTTGTAGTAGGAATATGAAACCCATGAGTGGTTGCCTTCTTTTTAACGGGGAAAAAGCACACTGAGACAAATTGAGGTTGAAGTAAATGAGGTTAGAAATCACTTACTATGAATCGGCGTATGTGATAGAAGGTGCCGTCAATTCCCGTTCAACAATCAGTGCTTGAAATTCTGGTTGTTCTGTGAGCAATTTTAGCACAACTTTTAGGGCCTGAAGGCATGCAGGATTGTGCGATGAACAACCCTCGATAAATTCCATTAAGTTTGTTAAATCTGGGTTTAAATGAAGTGAAGAATTCCGTTTCTGGTGTGTTATTACTCTNACTCTGGAATCGTATCTAGAACCGGAACGGGGAGAGTCAAGTGCCTCCGGCCTGGGGCTGGGAAGGTGTTCTTTATTCCCATCAGTATGTGTGTCACCTAGAGGCTCATTCACACTTATGGAGAGTTTCTCGATTCCCATGGATTGACCTGGAATAGATCCTGTTCGACTTGAGCTAGACGTGGTGATAGTGGTCATTGAATCGTCTGAATCACGACCATTTTGATTGGCCAGACAGTCCAAAAGTTCGTCCTCGAATGTCTTTGGCGGAGGTGACGATGGACTAGGCGGACGATAGTCAAATGAAAAAGGTGCACAATTTCGATCCACTTCCGATCCAATGCAACGAAACAAGACTGACTGGAACTGTACAGGGTTACTCTGAGAATTCTTCAATTCTTCCATCATAGCTTTATCAGTTATCAGTTCAAGGCGTTTCATCAACGAGGGTGGGATGGAATCCTGATCACGCAGTGCCCGAAGTATGGCATCCTGAAGGTTGTATAGTTCTTCATTTGTCTCATTCATGCTATCTGGGGGCAATGAGGATGGAACTGATTGTACAGGGTCTCCGAGATCTGCCCGAGGATCATTCTCACCAGCGATAAATTTCAATTTGTCTGTCACACCTGACACCTGCGGGTGATTGTTCCGTGCAAACAGACTACCATCTGTTCCGTTCGGGGACGTGCAGACGTTGGCTCCTCGATCGTCGTTTGATTCGTTGAAGCAATCATTCCGCTGAATTATTTCCGTAAATGTGCCCCCAATTGGCCTTGCATCAAGCAAACTAGTGGCTAACTCCTTAAAAAAATAATCGAACGGGAAGAGAAACGCGGGCATTTTAAATTCAATCTTATACGAGCAATTAAATTTGATTCCTAATGGTGAAAAATTACTTATAGAAGCTTGCACAAAGTTATACATTTTTACAGACGAATCATATATTATTGTTCTATTTTCAAAGCTTATTGGAACTAACAGGTATCGACAATGTATTGACGCTGTACTTTAAGTATTTCCTTCAAATTAATTCTTACACACTGAATAGTTTTGAAATTTCTCTTCTGCATGCTTGCATTACTAAGATAACTTTTCTTCTTGAAAAGTAAAAAGTCTCCCTTTGAACAAAGCTACTCGACAATCGACAAACTGTACACAGCTCTCTCCACGTCTGCTGAACGGTCAGAGTGCTTTGGACCCAAGTAATCACCGAGCGTATCTATGCAAGTCGTTCGTACCCAACGGTACGCAATAGTCAGTTTAATTGCGAGCCCGAAAATGTGGACGGAAAAATGTAATTTGTAGTGTCTAAAATTGTCCGAGAATTTAAAAGGAGAATGTAGCTTACCTCGTGCCTACAGTACGATGGTCTTTTTGACAAATGACCCACCTCAATCTCAATCTTTGTTACTCCCAAGGGACAGTTTCTCGCATAATTGATCACAGTCCTATTCGTCTTGGAGTCATGGAAACTTTCCGAAACAAATGGGACCGACATCATCGGAACTACTCACTGCAAATCTGAAGCGGCATACATCACGACGTTGAGTGTATGAGGTCTTGAAGTCATCTAACGCGATTGATGGTAATCAGAGAGCGACATCATCCAAAATAAAGTTGAGAAAAATCAAGCTAATGATATCGATTTACGATCGTGTTTTGCTGATCCTTTCAAAAAAAAGGTATAAGATTTTAAACAATGAGAATAAGTCACGTTTTTTAATTAAAATCTTGACGATAACAAACAATGGTCTGTTTTATGTTTTTAACGCATCGAATTCAGCATTTTCGTCAGGTTACCCCATCTTGAGGACAATAATAACTATCATCCACAAATGACTATTTCAGTGAGAACCCATTTATTAATAATCAGTCTTAGCTCTTCCCTATGAGCCAATAAAATGCGAGAATGGCAATTGCAGTCTCACTTGTACATCACTCATCTGCAGCTGTCGGAACAGGAATAATCTTATATCACAAAAGGTTTAGAAGCTACCAATTAGCTTGAGCTAAACGATCGATTTTGTGCGCGCATACACAGGACTACTTGATCCGCGTGCAGTCAAACTAGGAGGATTTAACACAGCACACAACAATTCAGTATTTGGCACCCGTTAAACGGCCTAGAAATGTGCGGGCAATGGTGACCTCGACAGTCCCAAACTCGTCTGGACAGGTCTCTCGGCATTTCATTTGAAGGCCCGACTGATTTCTATTTGAAATACTTATTACTGCTTTCTTTTTCTCGTAATAATGTATGAACCATATGTAATACTTCTCCCCTCCCACGCATATAATATTATCAATTACAGAAACACTCTACACAAGACTATACCAGTAAGTACAGCTCATGCAATGCTAAATGAGAAATTTATGACCTGGTCATTTCGGAGAATTTTCAGTTGTTTTGAAGTTTTCAGTCCTAAACGTATCTTGAGAAACATTCAACACACCATCCGTGTGCATATCGCAGTGAACGAATACATTTATTTCTGGGTTGAACGAAATTCCTGTTTAATTTATCAAAAATTCTATTCAATTACTTGACCGCGATGCATTTCTACAGCGATAGAAAAAGTCATTAGAATTTTATGAGATAAACTCGTCAACTCATCCAATAAACTGGCGACTGTGATGCCCCCTTTACGTTCGGCGTTGTCTCCTTATAAAAGACTCACAGATTTAGCATTTCTTCGACGAAGGTGAATAAATAATTATCTAGAAGCATATGCCTGACAAATGAACAAGAACGGGAAACTGAAAGTTACATGGCCTTGCCGGATCGAACTGAAATAAGTTCTTTTCCGTTGGCTTTCAAATACATCAACCGGTAACAGGCTCGTTGACTCAACAGGTACAGTTGTTTTCGGGTCTGACCTATAAGCAATCGAAGAACGTCGAGCAAGGATACGTACCCCATTTTTGTCATGAATCGGCACATACCCGTCCTCACCCATAACAATAAATCTGGTGCATCTGTATTTGTACTTTGCTCTCCTAAAAAGGATTTTTGACGGTATTTTGTTTTGCAATCCAGGAGCTGTGATTAGCAGACGGATTCTTTATTTTGTGTCTACGCACCGAGAAGAGGTACGGCAGTTTTCAGCTCGGGTAAATTGATTGCCACATTATTATATTGGCAAAATCCTTATTCCAATTTCAGCTTGCCCACTGGGAAAGTATCAGTAAGTTGTGAAATACACACTTTTGCGTTCAATTTAGATTGATCTGTGACGATGAAAAAGCGGAATCTGATCACTCAGCACATTCAAAGTCAACCCGGTCCGTTATCGTTGCATTTCTCATGCGACTTATCTGTTAAAACAACTTGCCCATCTAGCATGAGCATCTTAAAGTAGCCTCGTCGACCAATCGAATTTGTTTGAACAGAATTGTGCCTGCCCGTAAGCTGAGTCTGAGTTTCTCCGTTACCTACCGCATTCCGTGAGGATCTGCATCCGCTGTCCATCTTTTGTATTTTCTGCCCCAGAGGTTATTGATACGTGCAATTCTCGTTTCCAACTTTGTACGGTGTGGATTTAGAAGGTCACTATTTAAGTATGGTCAGTTATTCCGACATTAGACTGATAACTCGACGGGAAATAAACATTCGATCCCAAACCTCACAGGTGGAAAACAAGTTTACTGCCAAGTGGACCACCGGGTAACTGATCAAATGTCTCCAATTCATCTCGATACGTGATATTCCGTAACTCACCCTTGCAAGCTTGTTGCGATAATTGTAACAAATTCATATTACTTCTAAACTTTGTCTCCCTCCCTCTCTTTTTCTTGTTCATCACCTCCGTTTCATTCTCGTCTCCTATCTCCAACTCTATCTTTCCGTATGTGGACAATACTC